AGTGTGATAAAGAAGAGGTGTCGTGTATGCACATCTACAAAGCAAACCGATTCTTAAGTAAACAAAAAGTGGAGTAGAATTCAGTCATAAAAGTTGGATACTGTTTACACCAAAATAATATATACACATATACATATATATATATCTATAAAATCAAAATAATATTATAGATAATAACAAACAAACAAAAATAATAACTGCAGAAAATAAATTTCTCTTCTTCACTGAGATAAACAATTTCCAACTTTATTTACAAACGTGATTAGAAGTTAAAGTGACTCTAGTGATTATTATTGTATAGGTATACTAAATAGTTCAATATACGAATAACTTTGTTACCAGATCAGTTTCAAAATAGATTCTTCTTAAATCAAAATAACCTTCAAGTTGAGCTCTCTATTAGGCTTTATTTAGGTCACATTAATTATGTCGACGCAAACAAGCACGTTACTTCACTTATCTGACTAGGCAGCGTTGTCTCAGCTACAGACACACATCACGGATGAAGATGTCAAAGCCAGTGTGAACCATAAAGGTAAGGCACACCTTCGACACTCTGAAATCAGTTTGGAAATCTTCTACACTCCGCTTCACAGTAAAGAACAAAATTCGAATTTTCAACACCAATGTGAAGTCAGTCAGTTGTTTTATATGGCTCAGAAACTTGGCCAGTGTGTCATGAAAAACAGTTTCAACAGGTTAAAGATAATATGGTCAGCCAGAAAGAATTGACAATAAGAAACTCTGGGAATGAACTGACTAATAACCTATTGCTCAACAGATATAGCGAAGAAAATGAAGTTTGATTGGAAACACGCTGAGGAGACAGTTGGATGATATCGCATGCCAGGCTATCGAGTTCAAACGGGGAACGAAGAGTTGAGCGCATATCCAGGATTGAAATGGAGGACATCGTGTGAGAAGGAGGAGATGAGAGCTTATTGGTAACTATGATGGCAGATAAAGGGGACTGTGGAGAACTAGACAAAATGGAAATGTGCTGTGGAAGCCCTATGCTCCATTCAGAACCCAAGGGAATAATGATATAATAATAATAGTAAACAAGCACATCGGTTGGAGTTCACTTCTTGGCCGACTCACTCTCCTAAACCTTGCTGCTTAACCTTTAGTAAGCCTGGTAAAAGAGATCCCTGTGAAAAAGAATAATATCATTACCACTGAAACTTCAAAGGTGAAGCTTGATGCTCTTTATCCCACTGGGGATGCAAAGGAATGAAATAACTATGTTGACGAGTGTTCTCACAATACGATCAACTATTAGTTTCATTTTACAGTTTAAAAATAAAATGCCAACCTTGTTGCATTCACTTTCTAGTTCACTTGTTTTGGTGTTGACTGTTTCCTTGACCTGAAGTTTGACTTTGTTTTTGTGTGAATTTCTTCGTATGGATTGGTATATTTTGTCAATCTCTATGTGTCTATTGATTGCTGATTCATTTGAATACCAGGCCTCTAGGAATTCTCTGGCATTTTTGCAGTTCCTAGAGGCAGAATTCCTAGAGGCCTGGTATTCAAATGAATCAGCAATCAATAGACACATAGAGATTGACAAAATATACCAATCCATACGAAGAAATTCACACAAAAACAAAGTCAAACTTCAGGTCAAGGAAACAGTCAACACCAAAACAAGTGAACTAAAAAGTGAGAAGTTACACAAAAACAACCAATCACGCTCAAGGTTAGTAGAAGGAATGACTAACGACATTCAGACCAAAGAAGCAGCCAGCACCGAGACAAGCAAACTAGGGGGTGAAATGTCACACGAAAACAACCAATCACGTTCAGGGTTACTAGAAGAGATGACTAATAAACTCAATGAGAATTCTAAAAGCTCACTTCACATCGAAGTATGCGCTGAAGATGTTGCTCAGTAGAGCAATGAAAGCTTCGCAACCAAACCATCCAGCTCAGAGAACACAACCACACCAATAACAATAATAAAAATACTGGTAATAAAGGACAGAAAAGTTCAACAGGGAGAGGTATTCGTTCCCTTCTTCAGGCTCATCCGGATTCACTTAAGTACCTAGTTGTAATATATGTGTATGCAGCTTGGCATCTACGAAGGGTATTCAGTAAATCTGTGTCACGGTAGGCAGGAGGAACCTTCTTAGAAAATATTCTTTCAGACATCTAGGAAAATACAAAAAAATGAGCAAAGAATATTCTTTTCGATAATTTCCTCTTCTGGCTCTACAATTACATATATATATTTGCTTATATACATAGAATATTCTAGAACAGTAGTCAATAACACTATTAGTGTTTTTTAACTAATATCGATTTGTTAAGTAAAATAAATGGAATTAGAGTTCACTAAAGATGCATAAATTATAATAAAAATATAAATATAATGGGGAATAGAATATCAACTCGAATTAAGGAAATTTCTACAAAAAACTGAGGATCGTTAGAACCTATATGGCCAGGGTAAGGACAATGTGTGAACCGGCTTCTTAATGTGGATCCCAATGGCCTCAGCAATATGTAGTGGACGAACTCTTAAGGTGAAGTTAAGATTTGTTGGTATGCGGTAAATGACTTTGAAAGTTGCCTCGTTGACATCAATATTGTGTTCTTTATCCACAAGATGAGGTAGAATAGCACTATGAATGGATTTTGTTTATCATTTACTTAACCACTGTGCAGAGTGATTTTTGGAAGTCCGATGACAAACACGCCTAATTGTACAGCCTATGTGACTAGCTCCACAGGAGCATACATGTGTATACCACACAGTGAAACAGTATTATTTACTGGATGACGTTTCGAACAAAATTTATTGTTCATAATCATATCAATTATAATCACACGACTTTGACACTTCAGTTTTATAGTTTTCTTTGTTCTCTCCTATTTGTCATCGTTGGGGTAGTAGAGTTTTCCACATATCCGGGACAGGTTTTGAATCATTCCTATTACACGTGTTTTCATTCAGTTGATTCGATAAACAAAGCTTCTGTTATCAATCTCTCCCTATACCCTGTGACATTAGATTTTAAAACTGTCATCCTATCCCATCCTATTGTATGGTTGTGTGTGACTGCATGTAGTGCTATAGCTGAACTATTCTCTAGATTTCTTATCTTATTCAGGTCAACCAATCTAGATTTTGCTAAGTTTTTATGTTCAGCTGGTCTGACTACCCCTGTTCTACTAGTTTGACCTATGTATTTGACCTGACCATCATTGCAGGGTATTAGATAAACTAAATTGTTTTGTTTTAAAGGCTCTATAGGATCCTTTAGCCGACAAAGCTTGTTTCTAATTGAGTTTGTGGTTGGTTTGAATGCCATTTTTATTCCTGCCTTGTTAAGAATTCTGCGTAAGGCTTCCGAGGTTCCTTCCTTGTATGGAATTACTACTGATGATTTAGATTCCTTATTATTGGTGTCGTCATTAATATTAGGATTGGTGAAATGTTTAAATGACAGAGCACAAAAACTAAGTAGTACCAAAGAAAATCTAAAACAGGAACTGATACACATAAAAGAAGCTTTGAAACTTAATAATTACCCGGATAAATTAGTCAAGAAATATGTAAGGAAATGTAAAAATAAAATAAATAATGATAGTAGCGATAGTGATAATAACAATAATAATGACAATGATAATAGTGATAATAATAATAATATTAATGACGACACCAATAATAAGGAATCTAAATCATCAGTAGTAATTCCATACAAGGAAGGAACCTCGGAAGCCTTACGCAGAATTCTTAACAAGGCAGGAATAAAAATGGCATTCAAACCAACCACAAACTCAATTAGAAACAAGCTTTGTCGGCTAAAGGATCCTATAGAGCCTTTAAAACAAAACAATTTAGTTTATCTAATACCCTGCAATGATGGTCAGGTCAAATACATAGGTCAAACTAGTAGAACAGGGGTAGTCAGACTAGCTGAACATAAAAACTTAGCAAAATCTAGATTGGTTGACCTGAATAAGATAAAAAATCTAGAGAATAGTTCAGCTATAGCACTACATGCAGTCACACACAACCATACAATAGGATGGGATAGGATGACAGTTTTAAAATCTAATGTCACAGGGTATAGGGAGAGATTGATAACAGAAGCTTTGTTTATCAAATCAACTACAAATACATGTAATAGGAATGATTCATCACCTGTCCCCGATATCTGGAAAATTCTACTACCCCAACGATGACAAATAGGAGAGAACAAAGAAAACTATAAAACTCAAGTGTCAAAGTCGTGTGATTATAATTGATATGATTATGAACAATAAATTTTGTTCGAAACGTCATCCAGTAAATAATACTGTTTCACTGTGTGATACATCTAATAAACAAACTAATATGGAATTACTTACTACCACAGTGCCCAAGTTTTACACATATACATGTGTATAATTGTAGAGCCAGAAGAGGAAATTATCGAAAAGGATATTCTTTCTGCTCAATTTTTTGTTTTCTTCTTAGAAAAGTTTTGATGGTGAAGGGATATCCCACCCTCATCATTAACAGATAAGAGCTGGTTTTCAATGGTTTTCCACTTGGTCACGCTTGAAACAAATTCACTTCATTACAAACTAATTCTTGATAAATTTGAATAAGGCATTTAGAAGACAAATTTCGCAAAATGATATCATTTCGTAGTTTCTTTACAACCGCTTTACAACTAACATGGTTAACAATAATAAAATAAAGGTCATGACAATTACTCAGTTATGTAACTGGCTTTCACCCTACTGCTGCACACTTTTCGACGACGAAAGTAAACTACAGTAGGGGATTATTTTATGCTTCATATCAAATAGAATTGCATCACATGATGCACTTTAGAATTCTGCTTTTACTTGAAGATCCTGAATGAAGAGAAAATCTTATTATTATGCCACTGACTACTGTGTAAATTCTGTAATCTTTTGTGTAGAATAAGACTACTATTATTATTATTAAACACGGAGACATTTAATGAACAATCAATTTAAAATTCAGATACACTCACATGTACATCATCAGATGTTTCCTGGAGTTTTTGCTTCCCTGATTCTATTTGGTAGACACCAGACCAAGACTGTTCAGTTATACTGTTATTCTTCACGTAATCAGCATTATTATGCATTTTATGTCCTAGTGAATTATTGGCGCTGTCAGTCAGTACACCTGTCGACTTGACATCATCTAACAGGATCACCTCGTCTAAATTAACAGGTACAATGTAATTGTTTTCAGTCAATAAAGAATTCATATTTAGGCAGGTTTCACTAATGCTTGTTGATAATGACGATGATGGGAAGGAGGAAGCTGAATAACACGAAGAGGATGAGGAGGAGCACGAGGAGGACGATGATGAAGAAGAATGAGAGAAGCTGAATCCTGTGGAATTCGATGTTGGCAATAATAAGGACAGCTCATTTGAAGATAATAACTCAGACGGTAAAGAGTTGATTGTAGTTTGTATTGGTAAATCAAACGGTAATATACTACTACTACTACTGGTTGCATTATCTAATGGAATGATTTGAATTGGTTGATGATTTGAACCGATCGACTCAGCTGGGAGGCGATAACAACAACACTGGGAATTTACTGTTTCATCTATAACTCCAAGTTTTATATCTGAAGAATTCCAAAACGGGGTTAATAAGGCTTGATTGTAGATTGTAGTCGTACAGTTTGATGCAAGAGGTGTAGAATTAATTGAATTTTCATTTGTAGATAGAATAGGTGTACTAGAAAATATTACGTTGGAGGGAATACATGTTGCAAGCGGATAGTTTATCGTTGATGAGTGCTCCAATGATACACAAGGTTGAATAGGTGTACAATTAGTGATGTGATTTGAAGTCATAGTATTTATAATGATGTCATTGGATTCTTTGGAGACTGAAATAAACGGCACAGGAGGTATAACTTGGCTAGCTGTCTGACTATCAGTCCCATTTTGTTGTTCTGTTAATTCAGTGGAATTAGTCAGCAAAATTAGACCATCACCTGTTCAAACATTAAAGAAAGTGGGTCAGTAAATCTGAATGTAAAACTGCTTAATGTCTACAGCCTTCTGGTAGAAAAAGAAAAAGACCTAGATGTTACTGTTCATGAAATGTGAAACGGTTTATTAGAACAAGACATATGAGCGAACAATATTGTTGTTTTCAATTAGATCTTCTTCAGGCTTTACTCTAATTTACATAGATTTATATGTATGAAGAAATTTAACCAATGACGGTGATTTTGTGCATCAAATAGTACTAATAACAGTAGTGTGTTAATAATAATAGTACGCACCCACCGGGATTCTAACCCAGGACCTTCTGGTTACGTGGCGAGCTGGTAGACCATTGAGCCACTGGGACCCGATCCAACGGTCCTTGAATTCTAACTTCTGCCAATTCACGACATAGTGGGTGGGTGCGTACTGTGAAGAGTCCCAAACTAGGACGAAACAGCTGTCCAGTACTCCCAGGTTTTCCGGTGGTTCTCTAACTGATGTCAGCTCATGATGAAATCCTCCATGCAATCAAACAAAATCCCTACAAAACCAATGCTTGAAAATTAATAATAATCTACTTTATTCCAAAAACAGCACTTATGATACAGAATGGAATTCGCAGCATTTGTCACAATATTGCATCCGATTTACTCAAAATATAAATGAAATTAAAAAACTAAAACAAAATTAACCAGCGGAATTTGTCCACATTTACAGTAGGAATAAAGTCAAAAATATTCGAAGTACAAAATGATAATAATTAATATAATAATAATAATAACAGTGAGTTTGTTTCAAACAGTACTGTCGATTCAGTTCAGAAATTTTAGCATGTTATAGATTATTGAATATAATGTTCTGTTGATATAGTATGTTGAGGGGAACTACCAAAATTAACAGTTATAACACAGCTTAAATGATGGTTTGAACGTCAGTAATAACTAGGATTATAGTGATAATAAGGTTTAAGTCGGTGGCGATAAGAATAACGAAGGTAGTAATATGTATATACATAGAAAATTCAACAAATTACTTAATTAGGTCAAATCTTAAAAGTTACGTAATACTAAGGTGAAGTCGGCAGATATAATCGGATTTGTTGGAAGATTTCATCATGAGCTGACATCAGTTAGAGAACCATTGGGAAACCTGCAGGGAGTACTGGGCAGCTGTTTCGTCAGGAGTCAGCGATTTGTCTTTGTCTTATGGTCTTAAACTTAATCCTTCTAAATGTCAGACTGTTAATTTCAGTTTTAGATATAAAAGAAAGTTAAATGATGAGGCTGTTAATTCCTATAACAGTTGTAAAATCGATAATATTAATGATGTAGAAATCAATTCCAACGTCAAGTGTCTTGGAGTAATTCTTTCTTCTCATCTATTATAGTCTTCCCACATCTTAGCAATTTTTAGAAAATATTCTATCTGACATTTTACATCAAGAAGAAGTTAAGGCATTCAGCAATAACTCAATTGATCCCTCCTCTTACAGTTTTTAAGCTCTTACATCTTAACTATTCTTCTTCACTATTCACCCTTATTTTCTCCTGAGTTGCTTAAAAAGGGTTATTTTATACTTCGTAGAATTCTGTAGACAGTCAGTAGGGTGAGTGGTTTCGTCCCATTAGGCCATTTCGTTGACATTTTCATTGATGATAAGCACCTAATTTCAAGCAGCCATTTTGCTGAAGGGATTTTTTCGGACTGTGAACATCCACTTTACTCGCAGCTTTCACATTGCATCCCCTAGGGTACAACAAGGACCGATTTCAGAAAACTTCACGCCCGAGCAAGTCTAAGTATAATAATTCCACGATACCATATTTGGCACGTACTTTACACGCTGAAAATAGAGTCAGGCATGAAATAACTAACTAACCTTCTTTTCACTAGTTAATGAATAATTTTCTCCATCCTTAAACCACCATGCCTTATTGTTAATATTCCTCTTATATTCATAGTCCTCTTGTTTTTTCATAATTGCGAACACCATTTATGCTCTGTATTAATTGTTATTTACATTCCGTTCTCCCATCACCATGCTGTGTCAAGAGAACATTAGATTCAGTATTCTGTAACATATTAAGACTTCCATATTGTATCCAAAATATTGTTTAAAACAAACCCACTGATTCTAGCTAGTGACCTGCTACAGGATGGAGTTTCCTAGAGTTCTAGTGAGAAGTTGTGACCTGTGAGGCCCATCCAGTCAAGTGTGTGAGGATGGAGTTCCCACCGATGACATTGGTTGGTGGTTGCGCTAAATCAACAATTGGTAGAAGTTAGAATTCATGGGCCATTGAATCAGGTCCCATTGGGTGAATGGTATACGAGCTTGCCTTGTACCTGGAAGGTCCTGGGTCCGAACCGAAGTGAGTGCGTACTGCCGATGATTCTCAAACTAGGATGAAACAGCAGCTGTCTAGTACTCCCTGGTTTTCAATGGTTCTCTACCTGATATCAATCCACGGTCAAATTCGTATAAACCCACTGTTATTATAATTATTACTATTATTATTATAGTTACTATTCTCATTTTGTACTTTGCACATTTTTGACTTTATTCCTAATGTAAATGTGGAAAAGTCTCTGTGGTTAATTTATATTTTGAGTAAATTAGTAGCAATATTGTGACAAATGCTGGAAATTCCATGCTGTATTATAAGTACTGTTTTTGGAATTTAGCAGATTATTATTATTACCATTATTATTATTATTAAATAGGACTCAAACAAAAACTAACTTACTTAATTGATTCATTTCATGTGGAATAAAGTTATCTATTTGTTGTTTTTGGGACAATTGACTGGGTAATTCATGCGTTCCATTGGTTAGTGAAGTCGTTATGTCTGTTATCGCCGAAGTAACAGGCAATGAGGTCATCGTTTGTAGGCATGTCGATGTAGGATTCAAGTTACAGTTGTTGTTATTATTATTCATATTGACATTTTCAGCGCCCTCAAGACTGTACAAAATATTCGGATCACTAGAATTCACTTCATTGGTTACTTGTGGATCCGATATTCTGTTATGATTGTTTATTTCACCTTCATTTGAGCAAGACTGTGGTAATATTAAGCCATTCATGTGAAAAATCGGATCCATTGACAAATAATTATTGATTGTATTGTTAACTGCATCAGAGTTGGAAAATGCATCACTAGTACTCACATTGTTGGCAGTATTATCAGTTATTGTTGTCACTGTCGGTATAACTGGATCTTTCTCAAACGTTGGATAGTGAACCCCATTGATCACATCTGAAATATTCGACTGAGGCAGTGACAATGATAATGATGATGATGACGTTGACGATGAAGATGAGCTAGAAGAAGAAGATGAGGAGGAGGAAGACGAGGCTGATGATGACGAAGACGACGCTACCGACAGCTCCGATGTTGGCAATGGCACTAAGCAGGTGGTCAACGGATCACACAGCAGCATACTTGTATCATACTCTTGAGAATGATTTTGAGAATGTTGAAGTTGACCGAATGGGATTTCATCGATTTCACTAGCATCATATCTACATCGTTTAGTGTTAGGCAACTTTTCAGTTGACCCAGTGACATCACCACTATTCGCATCATTGTTAATTTTCTTGACCAGTTTAGAAGGTTCACTTTCAGTGAAATGAAATTCGCAGTCTTTTAGTTTAGTTTTATAATATTTATCTGAATTTGAACGATGTTTACCACGATGAATTGTATTCAGTGATATGGTAATATTAGTGTTATTATTATTATTGCCAATAGTACTACTATTATTATTACCATAAGTATTGTGGTGTTTAATAATATTGTTTGCTGACCAACTGATCGATTCACAGGATTGTAAATGTTGTTCATGGACTAAGGCGGCATTTGGTACTTTATCCAACCATCTTGGTTTACTACCATCTTCTGAAAGTTTTGAAAGTAAAATAGAAAGTAATATGTAAATATTTGCAAAGGTAGGTTAGAAAAACGAAAATCGCCAGTTAGCCTTATGTGTGTGTGTTTTTAATAAATTTAGTTTAGTAACAACCTCAATCGGCGGCAGAAATCCAAGTGGAAGTCGTCGCTTTCAGCTAAAGGCAGAGACATGGATGAGGATTTCATATCCAAGAAGTACCGGAAAAATAAAACTGTGAAATCAATGTGGAGACCTACAGTGCTTAGCGTAAGGAAGAAGGTTTGGATTTTCAACACTAATGTCAAGTTGGTGCTTCAGTAATGTTCAGAAAATAACTGCGTCTCCTAAAGTATTTCTAACACTGTAGAGTTTTGTCAACACCTACATTTCTTATACGCTGGACCACCGGTAAGAAGACTCTAGAAGATCTGGATTTCGCGCGTGAATGATACATGTCTAATGTCACACAAACTCGAAGATTTGCAAGCGAAAATCAACAAACTGGCTGAAGAAGTAGAGAAAACAGGACTCCAAGTGAACATATAGAAGACGGAGGTGATGAAGATAACCAACGAACAGCAACAACAACAACCACCACCAATCACCATCAATTGGAGAGATATAACAGAGGTCAGAAAGTATCGTTTCACCTACAGGCGACAGAACGGATGATGTGAAAACCAGGATTGAGAAGGCAAGGCAGACCCTCATCAGTCTGAAATCATAAAACTATGGGAACAAACTAACCAAGAACCCATCGCTCAATAAATACTCCGAAGAAAACGGAGATGGATTGAGCACAAGCTGAGGAGATCATCGAATGACATCGTGCCCAATACAAGCCATAACTCAAGTAGAACCCGAATGGGAGACGGTGAGTTGGGCATGGATCCGACGGTGACATGGAGGATATCGTTTGGAGAGAAGCTTACAGCCTATGGGCAGCTGTAGGCTCAGTTGATGAACAGGACAGCTAAAGATAGGACAAGTGGAGAGGTATTGTTGAAGTCTTATGTTCCACTTGGAACCCAAGGCGGACAATAATAATATAATAGTAATAACCAGCTGATACAAAGAAAAGAGACGCTAAAGGAAAGATAATTAAAACGAATGGTGAGCATACTTAAAATATTGACTATACTTACTTTTTCGAACTTGTATAAGATCTGGTCTCATACCAACTCGAAAACATTGTTTCAGTCGACAAGATGGACATTCACGTCGCGTTGTCGGTGTGATAATATGCTCTCCAGATTTAGCAGTACATGTTAACTCCTAATTAAAAGAAACAATAATGAAATGAAATCTATTCAAACTTTGAATATGTGTAGGTATCTGTATAAGGCGGTCAACTGGTACATTACAAACTTGTCTGTGCTGCATTAAAATACATTGAAGGTGACAGCGAATTGCCCAGTAACAGCGAAGACATCAGTAGTGACAGATATATGAACTTACTTGTCGAATAAAAGTAATAAATAAATTACGAAACTTAATTAAGTCGTCTTACGTAATCTAAGGTCATTCATTGATGACTATCATTCAGAAATGAAATATCATTAAAATTCAGTGGGTTATTTTCTGGAAGAAGTCGTGGGCTGGTTGGCTAATATACCCATTTCAAGTCGTTTGTTCTTCTTGAATATAAACGAAATCTCATCAGTACCGTACACTGATGTTTTGTGCTAGAAAAATCTGCACAACAGCCCACAATCTGGACAACGAAATAAAGGAAGTAGAAAACTTATTATGTGAGAATTAATAACCCGAAATATTAGTCAAAGTTTCCATGAGGAGAACGGAGGGGAAGAAATGCCTGCAAGTTGTAGAGAAGAGACGTATATGCACATAGAAGAATTTACCATTTTAAGAAGACGCAGCTACTGAATTATTGGCATCGAAACATCAGAAAATAAAAGCTAAAACATTCTTTATTGCAACATTTTGTTCAGAATTCGCCACTTCCTTTATACTTCCTACACAGGGAAGGATAAGCTAGCTACAGAGTTTGGCCACCTTATTGTGCATTTATAAAGTTAATTTTTCATGTGGGGAGAGACAGTTACAAAGGTGGAACGACTCGGAGAGCCAATATCGCCTTCTGGAGCGTTATTCAAGGTTGTTAAGTTAAGGAGTCAGTTGTAAAGTCAATCAGTCAAGTTCCATACTGGAACACTTAATGGATATAGAGCACGGATCTGATAGGAAATCAGCTTTTGCAATTCTTTGCGAGTTCCCACCTTAACACCCTTTTCTAGGTTGGTACATCTTAGGTTGTCAAGCATAACTGAGGCAGTTTGCATAAAGATTCTTCAACCCAATCTCTGTGTTCAGAAAAGGTGTGTTCAGCCTCTTTTGCCCTCACCCCCAACCCTGAATAGTTATCTCTCTCGGTGACACCGGATAACTGTAAATATAATCTTATTATATTTTTATTTTATTGTATTTGTAATGATAACTGTATTATCAATATCATGCTGTGCTGTAGTCGGACATTTTATTCCTGGTTTCACAATTTATTATTATTATATTATCGAATTTCTATGCGACGATAGTTATTTTCCCTCCTACTCCTACAGGTATGCATATTCTACCAAAACGTCCACCAGTGACTAGATTATATAAACACTTGAATGAATTTATCCTTATTATTATTATTATTATTATCACTTCAACTGTTATCCATTTACTCATACCTATACATATGATAGAGAAGATTTGGAGCTAAGGTGGATGATTTTGATGTGGTTGTGTTCTCTGAGCTGGATAGTTAATTTGCGAAGCTTTCATCACCCTACTAGGCGACATCTTCAGCGCATACTTCAATTTGAAGTCACTTTGAAGTAACTTCAAAATGAAGTATGCGCTGAAGATGTCGCCTAGTAGGGTGATGAAAGCTTCGCAAATTAACTATCCAGCTCAGAGAACACAACCACATCAAAATTCACACCTGTGATCCTATATTTTATTAACCACACTGATTCAAATGCCCATGAATAATATATCATTATGTAAATGTAAAAACTGATGAGAATTTGCCAAAAACACGTATTTGCCTACTTGAATGGTGTCCCATAATTATCATTTAAAATGACAAGCAATTGGAAACACAAATTTTGTTCATACAAGTAAATCATTGAGAAGTTGAAGATAATGAAGAAGCAGAAAGCAGATGAATGTAAATTGCATACCAGGTTATTGTACAAGTCAAAAAAGTAAGTCAGAAGTCCTGGTATTTAAAGTGGGTTGGAATTCAGTTACGTCTCACATACATTATCTTTAAATTCCAAGACAAAATATATAGACAAACATAAGGTATAGCAATGGGATGGATCACCAATATCCCCTATCGTAGCAGGTATCTTTATGGACAGCTGGGGAAATGTTGCTCTAAATACATTTAATAACCCTACTCCGAAGATATGGTGAAGAGATGTGGATGACACTTTCACAGTGTTAAAACACTGTGAACATATCTCTAGCTTCTTGACGCATATAAACTCACTCGTAAAGGGTAGAAAAATTCACATTTGAACCGGAAAATGAAGAAGTAGAATTAACCACAATGTTAGATTGTAAAATAAAACTAAAAGAAGAAGGTACACTGCACACTAGCGTATATAAAAAGCCAACGCATTCTAATAGATATTTAGACTTTAATCCATCTCATCCGTTATCTGTCTGTGAAGTCAGGCTTAGTTAAGTGACTAACAAACCGAGCAGTAGCACTAAGTAGTACAAAAAAGACCTAAATGGTGAAATCAAACAGATAGAAGAATAGATGGTTGGTTGTGAGTCGGTGGCACAGTGGTTAGGACTCTCGCCGACCATGCACATCGTCCGGAGTTCGATCCCTGCCGACGCACACCCGATATCTATGGTCGGCCTGAATTTGGGCTACCGATATCCATGCTGAAAATTCCATACTTGTACTGAAAATACGGTGTAGCATCAAGTTGTAATCAAAAATAAAAACTATCCTATAAAGTTCATTAGGAAGATCAGAAAAGACCAAAAGCAAAATAAAAATAATGGGGAAACTAATAATGATAACATAAATAAGAGAGCATATAAGGCATCTACAGTTCTACCATATAAGGAGGGGACATCTGAGACCCTACGTAAGATTTTTAATAAAGCAGGTCGCACTTGAACCTACAAACTCACTCAGGGTCAAGCTCGGTAGGTCAAAGGACGTTGTCGGTTGACCCATTTAGACAAAATAATATAGCTTTCAAAACACGCTGCAATGACTGTGAGTTAAGTCAACTACGTAGGTCAAACTGTAACAAAAGAAGACAAGGGCCAGGCAACAGATCGTTTATTAAGGAATATCAACACAAATTTATAGATTTTAATGTACATTATTGTAGATTATTGTTAGTAGAAAATACAGTCTTTTGATTGATTTTTTCTCACAGAAAGTTAACCTTGCATCTCTTTGTGGCTGTGTCAGATCATCTATATGCTAACTGTATCCGCCTACGTAGAGCCTTTGTTCTCATTTTCTCACCACCAATATTGGGGACATAAACATTGACGTCAATTACTGTCTACCAACTTTGGCTAGCAGCCAGCTCTCACCACAAAACTAGTAGGTCGGGAGAAATCAGATTGTCGGAACATAAGAATTTAGCTAAGGTGGGAATGGATGACGCCAACCACGAAGATAACTAATTTTGTAAAATGCTCACCAATTGCACTGCATGTATTGACACACAACCACACAATAGGGTGGAAGAGGGTTAAAATTCTAAGAAGTTAACTAGGTAGGTGGCAAGAGAAGTTGATCATTGGATCCTTGTTCATCGAGTCTACACCCAACACGTGCAATAGGATGCAATGACTCATCACTCATACCGGATATATGGAAAATATTACTATCAGTCAAGTCAAGCGATGAAAACTAATGATGGAATTATATAGACGAAGTTAGAAAATTTTGTGAGTACCTTGATATGATTATGAATGGCAATAAATTGTGCTGGATATGAGGTCATGAATAAATATTACTTACCGTATAACACTGTGAGACTTTATCAAAATAAATTTTACTCATAATGAAATTATACTCTACCACAGTGCACAAGTTTTATTCTTTTAAACCACTTCTGTATACATAGTTCATGATTTTCTTTATGAATAGCACAAAAGCTTCTAACATGGAGTGTAAATATAACCGAAAAAACTTTTAAACTATTTAAATGTGTTAACCTCACTCCAGTACACTAAGCATAGAACTAAAATTTCAGAGAATGGACTAAGAGAACGTGGTAAGAGCGAAACTGTCAACTTCTCTCAGCTGCCATTTGGTAATCAAAACTTATTAAAACATACAAGTTAATTGAATGACTACTTAAAAGAGGTTATTCAGTAGCAAAGAACTATGGGTGATAAAAACCTTTTGAACAATTTAGCAAAAAATTAAACAAAACAATAAGACGACAAACAACAGGAGATTGGTAGAAACATAATGAATTACAAATAGATAATATCATAGGTAATAATAATAATCTTAGCTTATACTTTGCTGTTCAGTTACTGATTTAAAAAGTTTTTAAGTTTTTTCCGACATTTGACTCTCTTCTCACAAACACGCGAGCTAAATGTGGCAGGTTAGAATTTTTACATTTGCTGGCCTTCTGATTTTACGTGAAGATATACAAAGAGGAAGTTGAGAATAAGTAAAGAGGATGTTCGGTATCGGACAAGATAACCTTAGCCAATGGCTCACAAGAATGGAAGTGCCTATCAACAACAATGTTAGTTTGCTGAGTCAAAGGCATACACAACATTAACCCTACCTACAATCTTCAGTGTTCTACGTAATATGACAGCATTTTTTGAGAAGTCCAGGGAAGAATAACAGGGAACAACATAGAGTGGGCAGAATACATGAATTAACAAATTGTAAGAGAAAAGGTTGAGTTATACCGGCAGAAAGTCTTAACCTGTTTATGTAATTAGCCGAACAAAAGAGTTTTGTCTGTCTTATCAGCTGTACACATATGCTGGGCCCTGTTCATTAAACTTTGAACAAGCGCCTCTTGTATTGATCACAGTGAGGAAATTACGTCAAATTAAAGTACTACCTTGTTCAAGTAATTATTATTTATTATTATTGTTCTTTTGGGTTCCTAGTGGAACATAGGGCTTCAACTGCACGTCTCCACTTGCTTCTGTCTTCTGCTGTACTTTTCACCTGCATCCATGTTAATCCATACTGTTTCAGCTCCTCATCACACGATCTCCTCCATGTCACCCTTGGACGTCCC